GTACACCTATAACTAGCTACAGTCGTGTCCTTTGTTTGTGGACAAACATTGGAACACTTGTTTGAGCCACTGTATCTTCGTTTGCTGGGTTCGATAGTGAGCGGCACATCGGCATCCAACTTGGCTTCGACCACGACCATTGGGCGATCTCTTCAGGTCCCGTAGCTCGCTACAATCGCAATCATCGGAAGAGCTTTGACGCGCATTTGATCCTCCATGTGCATTCAACATCAGAGACATGCGTAAAAGCCGTTCGTCGCGCAAGGCACCGAAGTTCAACACTCTCAGCTGACAAGAACGCTTATGGGGGGTTCAATGGCCTTACTGCGAAATAGTAAAATTAGGACAAGGGAAAGGTTTCGAATTGCCACGTTGAGCATCTCATCCGACCCTAGGCTTATCAAACTTCACATTGAGATGGCGGAGGTTGCAAAAGGTCCCGAATACAGTAATGACCCTGGGCGTCAGCGATTGGCCGAGCGCGCTATCCCTTCTCTTGCATGCTTGTTTCTTCTCTACAGATTGGATCGGATGCAACTGCCCGGTCCTGCCGAACCATCTACACAACAAAATACCTCTAGTTGCACTTACTAGACCATCGGATCCTCTAGGTACGATAAGAACGAGGCAGAATCACCTGGTAAGCCTATTTCAAAGCTTGTGTGTGCATATCAAATGAAAATAGGAACAGGATCCTCGTGGAGGATGTACATAATAACGGCATTTGGTCGCCGACGATTGAGATGGCCACTTGAGCATGGATTGTTTCTCCTGACATTCTCTCACCTCATCCTATATATGAGGGTGCTTCGATCCTTCCTAAAGTTTCCCATTCCCCCCAAGCTTGACCCGCGCTTCCCTAGCGTACCAACTGCGGAAAGGAACAACGGTGGATCAATAAACTTGTAAGTACCACCTCCGGTACATTTACCATAAATCAGATCTGAAGGGATTCAAGGAGCAGAAACCAATGGAAAAGAGAGACTCGTCGTCCATTACAAATCACGACGAAAAGGAGCGAAGCTCTGATCTGGAACACCCCGTTCCAATTCTAGGCAAGGATGGTGCTCAAGCAGACAAGCAACTCGATATATCTTTGGCTCTTCCTGGTATGCTTGGGGTGCACAAGGACGATGAAGTCGATCCAGCCGAATCGAGAAGAGTGAAGAGAAAGCTAGACTGGAGGATTGTACCCTTGTTGATGATGTGAGTACCGACCCCCTTCATTTCAAAGAATATAGCCTAATCGTGTCCGGTCCTCTAGCGTATACACGCGTAAGTTTTAAGAGTTCCACCCTTCTTGTGCCTTCCGCGAACAATTAACCTTACTGATAATCTTCTAGTCCAAAATCTCGATAAAAATACGATTGGAGCCTCCTCAATTCTCGGCTTCTTGCAAGATGCTCACCTCACTCCTGAACAACTCAACAACCTTGGAACATTCTTCTATGTCTCGTATCTTTTGTCTCAGATCCCACACTCCTACGCTTTCCAGAGGCTTCCTGTTGCGAAATATCTCGCATTCAATATGTTTATCTGGGCCGTACTTGTTGGTGCCACCGCCGCTTGCAAGAGCTACAAAGCACTTAGTGCGTTCAATCATTGCATTGTTCCTGAACTCCACTTCTGACGGTTTCTCTATGCAGTTCCCATCCGATTTCTCTTGGGATTCAGCGAAGGTTGTATCACTCCCGGCATCATGCTTATCAATTCGATGTTTTACACCCGCACCGAAATGGCCGAGCGCGTAGGATGGACATTCCAGTGCAACGGAGTGGCCGCTATCATTTCTGGATTTATCGCATTCGGTACATATCACACTGACGCATCCCGTCCTGCCGTTCCAGCGACCGCGACAACACCTGCCATCCCCGCGTACCACCCCAAAGTGGCACAGTGGCAATGGTTCATGATCATCATCAGTTCTTTGACATTTGTGGTTTTCATCCTTTTCGGGTTATTCTTCCCCGATTCGCCGACTCGGGCTCAATTCCTGACGGAGGAAGAAAAGGTGATTGTCGTGAAGCGCATTAGGGAGAATCAGTCCGGAGTCGAAACGAAAGTATGGAAGAGACATCAGTGAGTGACCCGATGCCTGTCCTTCGATAAGCGTTTTTACTAAGCTTATCTATAGGTTCATCGAGGCCCTTAAGGATCCAAAAGCATGGATGTTCATGCTCTTCGCTTGCCTCGCCAATTTTGTTGGTGGGATGGGTGTCCAATATTCGTTAATCATCAAGGACTTTGGGTTCAACGTGATGCAAACTACTCTGCTGAATATTCCCCAAGGCCTTTTCAGTGTCATTAGCATCACAACTGGAATGTACATGTTACGCAAATTTCCCGTGAGTGACTCTTCATTAAAACCTTTTCATATGTAGTCTATAGCCGCACTTTTTATTCCTCTTTTCCGCTGATGACAAGTTTCTGATCTGCTGTATCCGCAGAATTCGCGTACATGGATCTCCCTCGTGTCGTATATTCCTGCTATCACTGCTGTGATCCTCTTGATCGCTCTTCCGAACACACCTGCGGGACTACTCGTTGCCTATATTTTCACTCGTACGTCATTC